ATAATCTACTCAGGTCCCTTCCGACCCTAGAAACTATGAAAACCACCGTGCCGGGCCCCAAAATACTTATCTTTGGCTGCCAGGTGTTGCAGGGGCTTCCTGCAGCATCTCTGCAGCCTGGAGTCCTTCATCCTTGTCTGGTCAGGCCCTAGTCCTCCCTGGAGCTCTGCTTCCTACAGTCTGTGGGGCCAGACTGCCCAACTTGCTTCAGGTCCTGGGCTTTTATCTCTCTCTCTGGGGCACCTGAACCACTACTTCCACCCCAGGCTTGTCAGTCACTGGCTGCACCTGGGGCAGGCAGGCATTTTATTCAAGGGCCTTCTGCCACCATCAGTTTGTCCAGGAGGCTGGAGTTGGCCAGCTGATCCTCAGCTCCCTCTTTCCTTCAGTAATGGGGTAGGAGTTCCATTGCACACACAAAATTGAGGAGTATGTTATGGCAAAAGGTTAAAAGTATCATTCATATAGAGGTGTATCTCATATCAAATCAAAACGTGAGGCACTGAACTGCTATTGACTCATCTATTTCTAACTGGTATCCACTCTTCAACTGATGCACTTGCATTCAGAGGAGTTGAGCACGAATATCAAGACAGATGTGATCAGCTTCAGCATCTTGACTGGAAGGGACTCTTGTCTTTTGCCATTGCAGGGCTACATCTTCGCACCCATAAGTTGGTGTGGTAGGGCACCAAGAGGCGAAAGATATTGTAATGAATCCAAAGTCTTGGACTGCAGTTTCTCCTCTGCTGCACAGCATGACTGCTCAGATGTTTGGATGGCAGCGGTACAACTCAGATCCTCTGCTTCAAAAGCACAGACCCCCCAGTAGTGTTTAGCAATAAAGGTAGGTGTCTGGTTGGCTGGATAGAAATCAGAGCACTATTACACATCACGTGCACTATGAGCAGCCTGAATTTGCTTATGTTTCTGGAAATAACTAGTTCATGCTTATCAGGCTCAGGAAAACCTCAGAGTAGGTATTTACATTACTATGTGATTCCTATTGTTACTTCAGTTATTTTCACTAAAGAAGAATCTCCATTAACTCTTGGCTGTATATAAAGTCTAAGATGCAGAGCTGAACAGTTTGGAAACTATCCAAAAGATAGCAGTGGCACTCACATATGCATGTGTACACACACGCATGCATACAAGCACGCACACGCACACACACCAGCAGAGACAGATCTAGGAGGGTGCAGTGGTGCAGTTGCACTCTCTCCTCCTCCCTCTCTTCCTGTCCCCACTTTGATTCATGCTCCGCCCAAACTTTAAAATCAACCGCCTGGGTGGAATAGCAGCATTTCGATTCAGGCAGCACTGAGGGAGTCCATTGACTTCTTGGCCCATTATCATTTCCCTGATTCCTGCTACTGTCTCTCCACAGTGTGTCAATGACTCTCTCTTTTTTTTAATGGTCCTTAATATTAACTTAAGTGTAGACATGGCTGATAGAGAAGTACTGGGAGCACTATTCAGATGCTCAAGATTTGGTTTTATGAATCTGACTAAGAGACATACATTTAACTAGAATGACTACAGGACTAATGGCACAATATCTTTTGACTTATTTTGACTATTTTGCCTAATTTGTTGTGTTTTTTCCCTAAAACTGCATGTATAATCTATCAAGTTAGCGCACACTCCAATAGTTGTATTTGTTTTTGCTTTGATCTTTAAATAATATAGTGCTAGCCCCTTAGCATACTAATAAAACATCTAGGCTCTCTTTACTTGGAGAAAGATATGCGTTCTGTTACATGTGATGATACACCACTCCAAAGTCCTAAATCCATCTGTGTACACCGGCCTATTACATACTGCTCAAGGTAGATGACACTCATCCTCCAACTCAGGAAACTTGGGTGGGCTGACCAGTACATCTCTCTATCCCTCAGTTTACCCATCTGTTATGCAGAAATAGCCCTTACTTCTCTCACAAAGGGACAGAGTCTACATTCATTCATGTGCGCAAGGCACTCTGGATTCCCAGTGATAGATGTGGTAAAATTACTGGGACCTTAGACATACAAAGTAGTAATAAATAATACTGAAATACCAAATACCAATACTGACTAGTTTGAGTTTTCACAGCAAGATTCTTCTTTCTATTAACATCAGCAGAAATCTGGAGGGATCCCAGTGACTTCAGTGGTGTTACTTTGGTTTTACACTGATGGGTGCAGGTGAAGGGTAGAAACAATGTCCCATTTTATAAATCATTTGAGCTCACTGGGGATATTATCCTCTCTTTACCTGCTCTGGGTCCAGACCATCCTTTGAATTCCGTAGAGCTGCATCGGGGAGAAGCACAGCCCCCAAGCTAGCTAGCATTTCATTGAGTTTAGTCTGTTGAACTCCTGACAGACAGCTAATATGTCATGCCTGCTTCTAAAGAGGTGCCTTCCAGCTCATTCCCTGCACTTCTCCAAGTCACTCAGTTGGCATGTGGCAAGCATCTCTCTTTTGTGCCTGTTTTCTGCTGCAGCAGATGGGGTAATTTTAGCCTGCATGTTTGACAGACCTTCCTCACCCTTGCCTCCAGCACATCTCCTGGAGGGTAAAAATAAAGCAGCATTGTTTGATTTCTGGAAGAGCCTAAATGACAGTGGAAAGAACCCCAGACACACAACCCAGCCCACCACTTATGGCTGTCTCAGCTGTTGGCTCCTGATAGACAGAAGCATGTGGTTTCTAAAAATACCCCGTTAAAGTGAATGCATTCTCTTTCCAATGGGAGAGAATAAATTACACTCGGTGGTCGTAACATATACAAAAGCTTTCAACTGGCAGAAACAATGCCAGTGAGTTTTTCAGATGGGCTTTTCCTAATGAAGCTGACGGCACTGGTAATGCATGACCAACCATTTGGCTTCTGTGCTTAGCACTGCATTAAGCTAAAGGGTTTCTCCCCCTCCCCTCCTATGGAAAATGGGTGGGGGGAGGAGGCAACGTAGTCCATATATAGGACTGGTCCTGGGTCAGGCTGAAGGTGTTGAAATAGCAGGAGTGACAAGAGAGTTGGCTCACTCGCATTAGGAGCTGGGGTTCCCTGACATGACAAAAGGGGGAATGGAGACAGTGGAAGTGTTCACGTCGGAAGGCAAAGGCAGGGCTTTGAAGGCAGTCAGAGAATTCCTGTCTGGGGAAGTCATATTTGCGGAGCCTGCTTATGCTGCGGTGGTTTTTGATAGGTAAGAGAAAAGTTATTGTAAAGTAAATGCCAAAGCCTGCTCCTTACAAAAGTCTGATGTGGCCGCAGCTGGTGTTAACTTGATAGAGTCTGGATAGCATCAGCGAAGGCTGAGAATCTGAGTAGCAGCACTTCCTTGTGAGTCATTTGCAGCTTGCCACAAAGCTCCTCTCATTAGGACAGAGTGATCATCCCGCTTGTGTGCCTTAAATGCACTGTGACCTGCTACATGGACCTGAGCTTACAAAGCGCTCTCAGCTTCCTTCGTTGTAGTTGGAGCTGAATTCGATGGACTGCAATATGCGTGATGCAATTGCCGTTACAATGAGTCCCTGAGTTCTCTGTAAAAGATCTCACAAGGTGCTGCATGGTAGAGATACTGTATGTCATTGTGCTTTAATTGTGCATATGCTCCTGTAACATATACATAGAGAGAGAGGGCACTAATGCTTAAAGTCAGTAGGTCCTTAACACATTCATGTTAGTGGCAGCTTATCAAAACTTGATCTTGCCTTGGTCTCTTTAGTCAACCTTTCACTCCGTGCCTCTTGAAAGACATCACCTGCTTCAAGGCAAATTGTTTGAGACAGAGAACTTGGGAATGTTTTTGTTACTGCTAAAATGGTTTTATGCTCATGCATGAATGAATGAAGGGAAGCTGCTGTGTGACAGTTATCTTTGTAAGCAGATATTGGCTTTTTTTTTAGCTTTTGTTTGAAGTAACCAGCAAGTGAATCCTCATGTAAATGCATGTTTAGTTATGTTATTTGTCTCAAGCTCTTTATTTTTCTATAAAAAATTGGTGGATCAATTTTCTTCACAGATGTAGACTTTGAGTACCGAATTCTGCCCTTGAGGTCAGTGGGGTTCTGGCCAGATAACCTAAAAGCTTCTACACAACAGGCCATATTCATATTACGTTAATGTGGGAAATCCAGAATAACTTCATTGACCTCAGTGGAATTACTTTACATTTATACATGATTAATTGAGCACAGAACGTGGCCCAAACTTCATAAAGGAGAAACTAACCTTCATGTGCATTGCTTTCATTCTGTACTTCCTAACGGTCTAAACTTTTCTCAAAGTGCCTTGTAAATGACTCCTGGGGTTGAATTCTGCTGAAAACCTCCAGTGACTTTCAAATAATGTTCTGTATGTGAAATAAGGCAGGACGTTACTTACCTACTAAAGCTTTCTTTGAAAAACATTTCTTTTAAGGAGATCTAGGGTGGTATCAGACATTCTCTAGTTTTAACTGTCACCATGTAATGCTTTGCTCAGTCGCCCACAATTAAGTGAGCTTGTTTACTAATGCTATGTCATCAGGCAATATCAGAGAATTAATACTGAATGAAAAAAAGAAGAAAACAAATTTGTGGACTTAGTTACGCTTGTATCTTTTCACTCATTTTTTCTCTGTCACTGTAGTATCAGTGGGGGTGCAGGAGTAAGAACCGAGAACAGTGATAACAGAGATGTCATCTTTATTTGCATTTTAATAGGTCACTGTGAGAACTGCTCTTTGAAAAGGTGACTGCCATCACCATGTAACCTGGACTTGAGTTATGCCTATGTACCACTTCAGTTAGTCATGCTATGTCAATCCCTGAACTAGATTCAATTGACTGATGGACAGTCAGCCAAACCCTGCTCAGAGTGGGCAAGATGCTAGTGCTCATCTTTATACTAGCACCAATGCTAATTTATTGTTGAAATCAATCAGAGTCTTTCCATTACCTTCAATAGGCTTTGCACTGGGCCTTCATTTGACCCCAGGTTGCACTGGAAGCATTGGCTGGGCCAGTGGAACAGGTGCTAGTTAACATGAGTAGGGGATGGCAGAATTCAATCCAATCTGCTAACTTGACTTCCATGGAAGTAGGACCAGAACTGATGATTACTGATTAATTCTTAAGCATTGCCTATGATACTGGTAATTATTCCACCAAACCTGAACTAGGCTGAGTCCTAAGGAGCCTGATTATGAACTAGGATTTTTATGAGCAGTTGGTGTATTAAAATGACTCGTAAAGAATACCCAAGTCCAGGAGGAGACAGCAGTGGATTAGACATGATGCTCTGACAAGTTCTGTAAAATAAAATGGTTTGATTCATTACTTTCTCTTGAAATGACACTCCTCACTGCGGCTAGTGTGAAATAAGGCAACTCCTTCAGGGCCTCATCTAAAGATAGCTCATATACCCTTCGTGGGAGCCAGTTATGCTCATGCTAGAGGTCTGGCTTTTCTTTACTTGGGTCTCTGTCTACATGTACAAATGATGTGGGATGGGTTTACTTTAAAGTACTATGGAGTAAACCTACCCCGGGCAGGCATCTACACATGCTGGGATGTGGGAGCAGATTTGCTGCTTCTGGCAGCAGCCTGCACCCACCCCCTCCAGCCCTGCACCAGCCCCCTGCAGCAGTCAGGGGGAGTTCTAGGCTCACCCTGGGTGCTAGCCCAGGAGCTAGTAGGGAGTATGGGGCCAGGAGACAGCTGTCTTCTGGTGGGGGTGGGAGATTGCTCCCTGCCCCCTAGAGCTACCTGCTGTGGGGGCGGGCTCTGCCACTGGAGCCTGGGTGGGGACAATGTCCCTCTGCCCTGGCCGCAGGGAGCTCCTGGCCCTGGCTCTCTAACTGGGGGCAGGGGGCTTGGAAAGAGCTGCAGGGAATCCACGCCCAGCCAGGGGCTCACTGCTAGCTGTCCCACCAGCGGATCAGGGCAGAGGTCTAGGACCTGACCCCCCAGCTCTTTCTAAGCCCCACGCCTCAATCACTCGATCAGGGCATGGGGCCTGACCAGGACAGTTCCCGACTAGCCCCAGGCTGAGTGGGGAAGTCTGCACATACATCCCAGAGCTTGCTGGGGACTGGCCAAAACACAACCGTCCCCAGCCGCCCCCAGGCTGCACAATCAGACTTCCCCACGCAGCCGGGGACTGGCTGGATCCTGACCCAGCCAGGGGAAGGTCCCAGCCAGTTCTAGGCTGGGCAGGAAACTCTCCCCATGCAGGGATTTCCCAACCCGCACTCTGCAATTTTGATCGGGGAGCAGGGGCTGGGAGTTCCCTGCTGCTGGGGTAGGGGGACACTGAACCCACCCAGCTTCTGGTGGTAGAGCCCACCCTGGCAACAGGCAGCTCCCGAGGGCAGGGAGCAATCTCCTGCTCTCTGCTGTCTGGCTGACCAGGTGCAATTTGGTCCTGGTCAGCCATCTACATGTACTGTACCGCTCAGTAACTAATCACAAGTAAGTTTGCTACTTGTATTTACAGGTAGCAAATTTACTCATGATTAAAGCAAATTATTGCATAGGAAGCATCTGCATGTGTAGATACTGATGCTTACTGGGTGTGTCTACATGTTCATTAATGGGCCATAGTTACTGCTCATTAAGTTTAGTACTTGTACAACTAAGTACTAAATCAATACACAGTAGCTGGTGCTACTGCACCATTGCCGGTGTACGGCTACACTATGGTGTAGTGCTAATGTATGGCTTTTTAGTGATGCTAACTGTACAGTAGCCTAATACAACTGCGCAGTAGTGTATTAGCATAGTTTTTGCCCTGCGTGCTACTGCACAGTAGAGTTAGGTTACTGAGCAGCTCGCGTCTCATGTAGACGCACCTACTGCACAGTAATTTGTGCTAATATCAAGTAAAGTGTCTCGTGTAGACGTGCCCTGTAGCTAGAATCTCATTCCTCTTCTGAGCCCCTTTGATTTCATGGAAAAACACCAGTTTAGCCCAGATCAGATTTTTTTTCATTTGAAAAGCCAAGGCTACTTGAACTCTTGCATCCAAGAATCTCAAATAACTCTCAGCAGTGCTAAGTATTTAGCATGTAGTGCTGTGCAGACATGGCTTCATAGCTTCTGGTGCAGAAGTGATACTGCCTGGAGCAGTGTGGCATGCTTGAGGGCACGCCTGCCTGGCCATGGTAAGCTTGCGGTATGGATTTATCCTTCATGCTGTGTTGTATGTATGCTAATAAGCTCCCAGCTTCAACCTAAGAGGGTTTGTAAGTGCCGCTGCTTGGTAGCTCAGGCACTGCCCTATGTGGTGTAAGATATGGGTCTGAATCCCTTTAAGCTAAGGAAACCATAGGATCCAGGTGTCCTATTTCCTGAGTGAATGCCCAATAAGCTACTAAGGTTCCTTGGGTGAATCTGATATCTTTTATTAGACCAACTTAAATAGTTGGAAAAACATTTTTTAAGCAAGCTTTTGGGTTTAAAAACCCTTCGTCAGGCTGAGGAAGTCTCTGCAGTTGGTGTGTGCTCTTTCTGGAGGGAATGAATACTAAAGAAGCCAGAGGCTGGGCTGAAGGCAAGGGAGGCAGTCAGTGAAGATGTAAATTGAGGAGTCAGTGGGTGAGAGACAGGCTGGGTGGGGAGGGGAGGGGAGAGAAGTGGGATGAATGTAGCAGTTAAATAGTGGAGAGGTACCTGGGGAGTCGGATGTCAGGCAGGTTATAATGTGTCATAAATCCAATATCTATATTTAGTCCACAATTTTTTGTATGCAGGAGGTTGATGAAGTGGAGTTCATAGGCTCATCTCTGAGAAGTGTTTTCTAAGTTCCCTTTGAGGATTCGAACTGAGAGATTGGAGAGAGCGTGGTTTTCTTGTCAGAAATGTGCCCCCACCGGTAACTGGGTATTCTTGTCTTTGATCAATTCATAGTTTCATAGTTTCATAGATTAAGGGTCGGAAGGGACCTAGTAGATCCTCTAGCCCGACCCCCCACCAGGGCGGGAGAACAACAAAA